GCTGAGGTTCACTGACTTCAAACCTGCGATCCTCTGGACCCAGCCTCCCAGTCTCTGGGATTGCAAGAGGGTGGCCTGTGTCCACCCTCTTGTTTCTTCACGATTGCTGCTCAGAGAAGGAGTGGACTATGCCCGGAGTCACCCCAGGGAGGGTGAAGCTCAAAAGCCCACCCCACTCCTCCATCAAACTGGGGCCCTCCACCGGATCCCCACAGCCCCAGATCTGGAACACTGAGGAGGGACCCTCCACCAAGTGTGCAGGTCCCCCCAGGGGTCAGTGCCCCCATCTAGCACCAACCCCTGTGGACGTTTCTCATCAGTGCCACTTGGAGGTGCCACCATGTCTGGCCAGCTCAGAAGAGGACACCCAGGACAGAAGGGGGAAGCCGGAGCCCTCCCCTGAGCTCCCCTGAGGGTCAGTCGGTCCAGGGCTTGGCCTGCACCTCTCCGGGCAGAGGAGGAGGCGGGGCAGGCTGGCTGCCTAGGGCACCTTCCCTTGTCACAGGCCAATTTGCAACCCTTGCAGCAAAAGCCCCTGCCCTGATTGGCTCCTGGGCAGCGGCCTTTGCCCTTCCCAGGGTGGGCCAGTATAACAGAGCCCGCGGGCCGGGCCTGCCAGGCTCTCTGGAGCTGGCAGCTCTCCCCGCCTGACCACAGGGGCTTCTCAGCAGGGAGCGCAGGCGGGGCACGCAGACGCCTCTGGCAGCCCAGGAGCTCAGAGGGACTCCAAGGCAGAGGGACTCTGAAGCGGAGGGACACTGTGGTGGGGAGCGGGGCTGCCAGCCTCCCAGCCCTGGGACCCCCACCCAGCCCTATGGCCTGCGAGACTCGGGCTGCTGGGGACTCGGCGCTGCGCCGCCTCCTGAGACTGCACCGCACCGAGATCGCCGTGGCCGTGGACAGCGCCTTTCCGCTGCTGCATGCGCTGGCCGACCATGACGTGGTCCCTGAGGACAAGTTCCAGGTGGGCCCCGCCCCACGTCAGCGGATGACCCCAGGACTAGTGCCCAGGATCGCTGCTCTAGCCCTCCCAGCCTCCCCTCCCCCTGCCCACAAGCCAGGTGTGGACCGGCCACAGCCCTCCTGCCACCTCCCCCAGGAGCCGGGGAGCTCTCCTGGACTAGGTGCAGGTGGCCCTGCCTCTCACCCTGCATGCCCCCTGTGCCACCGTCCCCAGGGCACCAGACCTCCTGCAGTCCGCGGCTGCCTCCCAGCTTGGTGGGAGAAGCCGCCACTCAGAGGCCCCCCGGCTGTTGCTGCAGGAGACCCTTCGTCTGAAGGAGAAGGAGGGCTGCTCCCAGGCCTTCCACGCCCTCCTGTCCTGGCTCCTGACCCAGGACACTGCGGCCATCCTGGACTTCTGGAGGGTTCTCTTCAAGGACTACAACCTGGAGCGCTATGGTCGACTGCGGCCCATCCTGGACAGCTTCCCCAAAGGTGTGCCCGGCCCTGGGCTGGGCTCCTGGTTGGGTTCAGCCTTGTGGGGGGATTGGGGCAGCTGGTGTGAGGTGGGAGGTGTGTGTCGGGGCGTCTGGGAGGCCCTGGTGACCCCCCAGGACTCTTGGATTCTAAGAGTCAAAGGGCAGAGGACTTGTCCACCTTGCTCTGAGGATGTCCAGTCCTATCCTCCATGCCAAGGACAGGCTCTAAGGCCCTGCTCCTGCCCATGAGCTGCAGATGTGGACCTCAGCCAGCCCCGGAAGGGGAGGAAGCCTCCTGCGAGCCCCAAAGTCTCAGTTCTGCCACCCAGACCCCCCGCCAAGAGGAAGGCCCCGGAGGAGCCTCGAGCTGCCCCATCAGCAGCCCTGACCCCAAGGGGCACCTCAGGCCCAGGTATCCAGTGGGAGAGCGCCATGGTCACAGTCTCCCCTAGGGGTCCCCCCCCCTTTCTGGCTCCAGGGTGTCTGTCCCACCTGCCTGGGCACAGAAGCAGCCTGTCCAGGCTGCAGAGGCCTCTGGGCACTGAGAGCCATACCCTGGACGGTCCGTCTGAGTTTTAAGTGGTAAAGGGGCAGGAGGGTCTCATTTCCTTTCTACTGCGAGGAAACCAGAGCCCATACCACGAAGGAGCCCACAGGGAGTCAGGGCCAGCGCCTGACTCCACCTGCTGCCCTCCCACCTGGCCACCAGCATTGCCCCCCGGCCCCTGTGGAAGCCTCCTGCCCCCAGCTCTCCCTTCCAGGTTCCCACGTGAAATCCAAGCCAAAGAAGGCAGAGGGCCACGTGGAGCCACAGCGCCCCCCGCTGGGGAACGGTGAGAAGGCCGGGCCCAGGGAGCTGGGGACACAAGGAGCTGGGGACACAGGAGCGGGGGACACAGCTGGGGACACAGGGAGCTGGGGCCCAGGGAGCTGGGGACACAGGAGCTGG